TATATATATACATGTCGAATTGAGTAACCTCCTTCTTTTCGAAGTCGGTTAAAAACTCGTCAGTCCGCGGAAGTACAGTGGGATCGGCTGCTCCTTGGTCCTGACGAAGCCAGGAACCTTCAACTCCTCGAGGATCTCAGAAAAGGTCGCATCGCGATCTAGTGGAGCAGGTTTCACAGCCACGGAGGATGCCTAGATGGCGGTACGGTCGTCGGGGGTCCTGATCGGGCTTTAACAGTGTGGCCATAGTTGCCTTGGGTGGTCACTATTGTCAATACGTCTCCGCATTAGATTTTATCGGTAGACGTCTTGCTCCTGGCATACCTTCCACTTCGGTTTTTGCAGAGTGGAAGGCGACTGTCTCCGAATTAGACAATTCCTGGATTTTTCCAGGTACCGTGGTTGTTACTGTTTTGCTGGTCCTTGGAATTGTCCCCGACTCCTTCGGGGGATCGTGGGTTTTGTCGAGGTGTATTAGCGACGCCGTATCGTCGCTGTCCGAGGCGGTCGGTTGCAGTGTCGCCGTCGCTTGCTCTCGACATCTCAAATCCTCGATGCGTTCTTGGAGGCACGCCAGCTGCTCTTTGAGGTCGCGCCTTTCCTCCTGGACGCCCTTGTTGACCGCTCGGGTTTCAACGGCACAGGGATTAGGGATTGACGAAAGGAATTCTAATGGGAAACACAAAGTTTTCTTAGACTACGTCGTGGAATTTTCAAATCAGTAAGACAATATTTACCGATGGTCTTATTATCTTTATCTATCAATTCCACGGTCATAGGTCCTAGAACCCTTTCAATTTTTGCTGGCCCCAGATAGCGATGGGCCAGCCTGGCGTTATACCCCTCAGCTTTATTGCTGAGTTTTTTATTCGGGTAGTAAACTTCCATCCCTTCTTCGACTTCGATCCGAGTCACTCTATCTTTATTTGCTCTATCGAGACGTCCGTCCGAATATTGTTTTAACTGTAGCTCAATTTTATGTCTTAACTCGTCGATGTTATTCATTCTAGCCATCTATTCGTTAGTAACGTTGTTCGTAATCGACAATAGGTTATCCGAGTTATTAACATGTCGTACGATAGCCTCACGCCCGTAATTTAGAAAGAACGGTGATATTCGCGTTCTCGCATGGGGTACAGTATTATAAGCCAATTGCAATTTGGACAGATGTTGGTCCCACTTATTTTGATTGTTTTTGACGAAGCCAGCTATCATGAGTTTTATCGTTCGGTTTACTCGTTCTACCGGATTTCCTTGGGGGTGAGCTAACGGAGTAGTAATGTATTTTACCCCCCTTGCTGTCAAAAAGCTCGCGACGTCCTTATTAAGGTATTCTTTCCCGTTATCGGATATCATTAAACGAGGCGTTCCCCACCTATCGAAAATAGTGTCTAAAACTTTGACTACAGTTTTCCCCTTTTTGTCGCGCGTTGGGAATAGTTCGATATACTTTGTCGAAAGATCTAGAACGACAATGATACATGAATTACCCTTTTTTGAATGAGTTGTCATATCGGCTGTATCAATCGCGATTTACATCCACGGAGTTTGAACTAATCGAGTGGCTAATGGTTCCTTTTCCGGATTCTGGTTATTTTTCACTTTGATGCAAATATCGCATTCTTCGACAAACGATCTAATGTCTCGCGTCATTCCCGGCCAACAATAGCCTTGACGGATACGGTCTTATCGCGCCCTAGATGCCCTGCTTGCGGCGTTTCATGGTTTTCGCTCGATTTACTATCCCGAATTGTTAAAAGTTCGGCTGGCTCTATCGCATCGTCACTATATAGATCGTTCAATTCGTTTTCCGAAAATTCTAACTCATTCTCTGTTTCGTCGTCTATTTCCCACGATGGAACTACGCTCGTTTGTCTGTCGTTTCCTACATACAGCAAAGTATTAACCTGAGAATTGTCGAGTCGTTTGTCAAGGTCTTTTCCTTGATCAAGTTTAATTTCCGGATTTTCTTGAATGTTTTTTGTCTGTTCGATCAAGTTAGTTTCCGCTGACGTGCCCTGTAGTTCAGTAGTTAGAGGAGAAGCTACTGAAGGCCCTTTTCGTTTCCCTGCAACGTAGGACAATTTTCGTTCACGTGCCCCTTCTGCTTACAGAGGTGACATACGTTTTGTCTGGGGGCGGTACATGTACTTGTTCCATGCCCCCATTCACCACAATTATAGCAAAATACCTTGCTCCAATTACGAGGTGAGTTAAATTTACCGGGGATATACCTTCCTTTAGACGAATCAGATACCTTTTTGGTGTTTTGTTTGAATTTGGCTAAGTTTTTCTCAAAGCGTTGGCGCACCAAGAGTTTCGAATTTACTCCGTTCCCCTTTTTAGTCTCATTTATTTGAGATTTATTTTTTTGAAAAGCTTTCAAATCGGCAGCGGTGTTACTGTCGCTATGCAAGCTATTGTCGTGGATATATTTGGGGTCGCTATCACTTGTCGATTCGTCCTGCAAAAATTGCATATCCAATCTTCCTCTTCTTGATCTTAATTCGTTTTGACTTTCTGCCGATCGACTATAAATTTAATTCCTTTCATTAACGTAGTGAAGAAAGTCCTCATAGTTATGAATCGGCGAATTCAAAATCTCCAAAATCAATCGTGGATTAAATTTTACAAGGATTTGCTTTAATTGATCTTTAAATGACGGTGGATATTTCATTTTTTCAAAAATGAAACGAGCTCGACAAGTAAACAAGGCAACGGACTCCCCCTTCTCTACTTTCAAGTCGCGAATTTCCCCGAAGAGGTCGCCGTCTGCTTTCCTGACTTCCCATTGGTAACGGAAAGCCCTAACAAATTCCTTCCAAGTGCCCCAATTCCTTTTATTAATTAGATACCAATTCCGATACGCGCTTTCGAAAATGTTCGACAAATACGGAACGAATAGATCTTTACTTGTCCCGCTCGTATTCAGAAGGTCGCCCAATATTAACAAAAACTGCTCCGGGTCTTTTTCGGTTCGCGGAAAATTAATCTTCTATCCGCCTACTATTCTACCTATTTTGATGGCAAGATTGGAGTCTAAGACATTTGTATTAACGGGTGAAATACTAGTTGTTCTGTCACGAGCAGGTAAAACTAAGGTGGTTTCTTCGTACACGTCGCTATCGTTGGACTCGCTGGTTCGCCAATAAAATGCGCCTCGTTTGGACGGTTCTTTGCGACGGTCTATGTACCTGTTTATCAACGGTAAACCGTCGTCGGCGTGCGCTCTATTTTCCCGACGAGACTGAGAATTCCTATAATTCTCCCTGCGACGCGTGGGTAGATTGTTGTCATTTTCAATAAATTCGTCTAATTGGGATATTCGATTCGGATATTCAAAAACTTTCCTACCATTTGCCAGGTAATGAACAGTTTTGATATTGATCGATCGTCAATAAAATTTCGTCCCGTGTCGGTACGTCTTTCGTCCAATCGTGATGTCAAGTCCGAGTTTCGTTTCGAATTTAGTTCCGAATTGTTAAAATGCACTCTTCGGAACTCTCTCTCGAATGGTTCCTCCTTTCGTGGATCGAGGCATCATTCGTATTTTGGTTGAAACAATTAGAACAATGGGAATGGGGAATACGTGCCGCAATCCCATTATTATTGAAACTATTATCAGTTCGAGCCATATACGGCTCCCCCCGTTTATTCCCCTATCGGACAATTTTTCAATTTGAATTACCGAAATACTTCGGTCCTTATTTCGGCCGGGTTCGACAACAGACGGTTTCCCCCGAGTCCTATTATCCATTTGAATCGAAGTTTGGGTCCCCCCACGCCGAAATTTTCGTCGCGAAGTTCTCGGACTCCTTTCTTCGTCAATACTCTCGCTATCAAGTGAGGAATTTGTCATCTCACTGTTCAGCATTATTAAATTTGACGCGTCTCCCCCCTCAGACCTATGGTTGGGACGCGATGAACTATTACTTGCGACTAAATTTGCGCGATTCTCTAAATTAAAATTTTGACTCTGTTTCATTAAGTTTTGCATCAATGCAACTATTCTATTCTGAAATGCATCGAATCTAGCATCGAGTTTAGCATTGAGCATAACGTCGAATCTATTGTCTAGCTCCGTCCGTAGACCGGACGGTTGAGCGCCCCTTACACTTTCGTTTAACACCGCGGTAGGGGTATTCTTTTCCCTTACCCCCTCTACTTGAATCAGAGTTCCTTCCTGTATAGACGCGGTTGGTAAAGCCCTGGTTTTTCTGAACGAGATCGCCACGGAACATTCCGTCCGTTTAGGCCGGACAAAATGGTCAACGGAACGAGTGATTTGACTCGATGAGGCCGGTTTCTCTGAAAAACCGCCACGAAATGACGACGGAAACCGAAAATAAGGATTATGGACGGATTCACGAATACCCAACTCATAGTAGTGTTTGTGTAAAATCACGAGGAATTCTGTCTTCGTTTAGGGTCGAAGGGATCAGGGACAATACCGATACTTGACCCAACCTTTTTTTTCTCTACGACTCTACCCCAGGGGGTATGTCCCAAACCATTCCACTATTGACGATGTTATGTTATATATCATCAAATTCAAAATTTGGCTGAATAACTACTGGTAGCTAGTTTTGAACTCGGTGCCCTCTCTTAATATGTTTAATACTTATATTAATATTGAAAACTTCGGAATATTGATATATTGGGAACTCAGTCTTTGTTCAAATTGTCAACTTCTAATAAAAATAATGGGAATATAATGAACATTCCTCTACTGGGATGGGATGGGGTGTGGCAGGGGACCTTCTTGATCCCCCTGGGTAGAACGAGTGGGAGCCATAACGTCCCAAGGATCTGCAACCCCCGACAAGCCTGACTCGAACTACAGGAGGTAGCGAAATGGGAGACCCAACCCTTTAGAAATTACAGTTACCTCTCTATAAATTTGTATCCGGTAGCGTACGACGACCAGTTGTCTGCTTACCTTGGACAAGTGTAAAATTCAAGTAGCGATCCGGAAAGTAAAATAATTAAATTAAATTAGAATGGAAAATTCTAAGATTGTGCAGCAACTGTTATTGCTGGAAGAAGAAGAGCAAGATGCCGAGGATGAATTGCTACTGGCATTGTGTTCAGAAAATGAAAGTACTGAACTGTTTTTAAAGAGAGAAGAAGAAGGTGCTTATCACATATCATTTTTGAACCATATTGTGAAAAACGATACGAAGTTTAAAGAATATTTGCGAGTGACTCCAGAAATTGTATACACCGTACTGGATGATATCAAAAGCGACATCACAACAGTACCTACCAACAAATATCCTAAACCTATTTCACCCAAAGAAAAGCTATGCGTCACATTGAGGTAAGTGGTCCTAAAAATGAATAAACACACAGTCTTTTATACTGCTAATTTTATATTTTTATTCGCTATTATCGTCTTCTGTTCTGTTATTTATATTCTTTGATAAATATTCAATGTCTAGCTCGCTAACGAGATTACTATGTCCGCCAAAGATTTAAAGTAGATGTCTACATGGTCCACCACTTATTCCTTGTTCTCTAATTGCCGTAACAATTTTATCCGTTCCTCTCTCCCTTTTTTATAATGTCGAAGACTTGCGATCTTGTTCGCTTCTTTGTTTCTATAATACTATTATTGTTTGACGTTGTTGCCGTTGATATTGTTGCCGTTGCCGTGATTCCTATTGTCGCTGCCATTGATTTTGTTGCCGTTGGCGTTGATGCTATTGTTGTTGCGGTTGCCGTTGTTATTATTGCTGATGAATTTGGCTCTTCTGTTTCTTCATTTTTTTCAATTTGTAATGAACAGTCAGCTATGTTGCTCGTAGTACTGCAACCAAAAAGTGTATAGCCAGTATGAAATTAAGCGAAACAATTATATAATATTTTATGACATAATGGCAGTTCTAAATACGTCCTCTTTCTACTTACGGTCTGTGGACAATCGTATTTTCATCCAAAAATTGTAAATTCTTTAGACTTTCTTTTCCATCATGTGCTGCACTACCGGTTGTACTGGCACTTTTTCTTTTGGCGTAGTAGTCCCGTAAATTTGTCCACCGTTTTTTGCAATCTTAAACTGAAAAGGATTAATAATTATGCATTTCATTTAATATTATTTTTGTTTCAGATATTTAGCAACAGGAGAATCCTTCCGATCGTTAGCATTTTCGTTTCGAATAACTCACAGTTGGTTACGTCGAATAATAAGAGATGTGACGTCTGCAATGAAGAGAAACATGACAAAAATATATATGTCAACACCCAGCCAGGAAACGTTAAAAGAAAATGCAAAGCAATTTTATGAGCGGTGGAATTTTCTAAATTGCTGCATGGCAATTGATGGAAAACATATTACAATTATTTGCCCGACTGACACTGGATCACTGCATTTTAATTATAAGGAATACTACTCCACAGTTCTCCTTGCTCTTGTAGATGCAAATTGTAAATTTGTGGCCATTGATGTGGGTGCGTATGGTAGCGAAGGTGACGCGGGAATATTTGCCAAATCAAATATTGGTAAAAAGATAATGGCAGGAGATTTTAATCTTCCACCTCCTGCCGTTTTGCCTGGCACAAACATCTTGCTGCCGCATGTAATTTTAGGTGACAGTGGCTTTACATTAACCGAAAACATGATGCGACCATACGCACAATCTGCGTCAAATAGCAATGTTGCTATGGTCACATATAATTATCGACATTCAAGAGCAAAGAGAACGACCGAAAATGCCTTCGATATACTCACCCAAAGATTTAGAGTATATTTGACATCGATTGGAGTAAAAAACGTAAATGCAATTGATGATATTATCTTTGCCACATGCATATTACATAATATGTTAACGAACGAAAATGTGCCTGTAGAAGAAAGCACATCTGCAGTGCGAATGGCAAATATTACAAATTTAGCCCCTCATCAAAACCGTAGGGGAAACCTCAGCGGGCATAGAGTGCGAGACGCGTTTAAAGATTATTTTAATATGGAAATAGGCCGCCTTGAATGGCAGGATAATATTGTAATGCGAACTATGTAGATAAAAATTGTATACTTTTAGTTTTTTAACTTTAGAAATTTGTATATATGTACTACGTAGAATTATGTACTTAGAATTATGTGTACTAATTAGAAGTATGTGTTTGTACCTTCGTAAATTCATAATTAAAAATAAAAAATAAAAAAATGGTCAGCACCCGACATTAAGATTTTTGAAACCTGTTTTTTCCCCATTCTTTAGTATAGTTTGTAAACGTTTGTCGTAAAAATATTGACAATTGACGATTTCTACCCTTACGCGTATCAACAATTGCTTGTAAAATTTGAACTATTGAGGTACGAACGAAACGAAAGGCGGGATAAACGTTTACAAACTATTCTAAAGAAAAGAGGAAAAACAGATTTAAAAAATCTCTATGTCGGGTGCTGACCATTTTTTTATTTTTTTTTTAATTATTAATTGATGAAAACAAAACTATTGGTGGTACAATCAAGTACAAACGATATACTATCATTTTCTATAAAAAAAATTCAATTTTAAACAATCAGGTGCCAGGTTCACATAGATTCAGAGTGGCACATATGAAAAATAAATATTAAATAAATATATAATTTACCTGTTCTATTATAGCCTGCTTCTTCCATTTCCTTCTGAATTTCCCTCCAAATATTCTCCCTTAATTGAATATCTTTGTATGTTTTTAATTTTTTTACATACTCTGCAGGGGTAAAGTCCAATCTTTGATACTTCTTTGCACTCATTGCACCTCTTTTTCCACAGAAATAATAAGAAACAAAATGCACTTAGATTCACGACTTCGATGTTTACCGTTTGCGATCAACAAGTAGACTGACTTGCTGATGCTTTGGGTTTTTCTACGACAAAACCCATGAATATGAATTTTAGTGGGGGTAGTGACGACCGCGAAAACGTGAAAGCTTGTGGATGCAAAACTTGCAGGTAAACCACGTAAACCAGGTAAAGCACATTTGCGAGCCAGATGTTTAATTGCCCCCACGGTTGGGATTCAGTCGCTCATAAATCGAGAGTTGACCATCAGCAGCATTTGTTTCCCCAACCTTGGCAGTGCAAGAGGTAACGATTGCCAACATGTTCACAGACAAAGGATGTACAATTGACGATGTTCGAAGTCAAATTCAAGACACTGAACAAGTCTTTTCGTGGTTACCTGAAATCGCGATACTAGCGAAGTCTATATGTAATTCTATGTACATATGTACCTATAATGAGACTTCCCTTACAAAATACAACACAGAGCTGATAACTACTAATAATACTAAGTATAATAAAATATGTTTAACACCTTCGCGTCTGGATATACTTAAACAATTTGATTTGCTACACATAATTTTATGAAATTCCTGTAATTTCTTATTTGACATAAGAATGCGTCATCCATAATCAGCGGAAGTTTTCGATTTAACGCAAAAATAGGTCATCTGTAGCAAAGAGGTACTATATACGATATATATTGAAATAATGTACAATATTATATAATGATCACATTTACACATGTGTATTGTTTATATATTAATTCTAATTACATTCAAATATACTACATGTATGCACGTTTGACATACATAAATTTAATAATTGGCAACGAGAATCAACAACAGACGGTTGACTAATCGTTACAATTAAATCTTCACAATTTGCAAAATACAGAAATATTAATAATTGGTAAATATTTATCGTTAGCCTATGACCAGCATTGATAGACATAGATTTATAATTTATAAAATATCAAACAGTAATACATATTCATATAAATTCACAATATATCGAATAATACAGATAATATAATAAGTACAGTTTCAAAGACAAGCAATAGGAAGTTGGAAGAAATACATAGAAAAACCTTTCCTCTCAGGAACCTTATCGTCGTAACATAAACACAACGTTTCGACGCGGTCGAGGTCATGCTTCCCGAACGTACCTTTAGACAAAGCAATCGTTCGATTTTCGTGCACGTGGCGCAGTAATATTACGAAGCGGTTACTATTTGAATTTATTTCTTTAATTATTAATATTTTCTACCAAAGGTTTCAATTAAATCACTTCACGAATACTAATAACTAATGTACTAATCAAATTTTCTATCGAGCCCCACGTTGGGCGCCAAATGAGACCGATTTACATTTCTCGACAATTTATGAAATCTAATTTAACTGATAATCTGAATATTATTCTGTCGAGACAAGAAATCCACCCGGCGCGGCTTAGTTCAAGGGCTGTCGGGGCTCTAAAGAATGAAAATTGAATTTATGTAAAATAAAGATTTAGGGCGCCAGCCGATTTTACGACAAATCGGCAAACGGAAAATAAGACTCACTCAGGGTGGGTGAGTTGGATGACCCGTGAGAGGCAAAGTGAGACAAAAGATAGAATAAAATTGAAATAGAAATAGAATAAAGAAATATAAGTCAGGTAAAATTAAATATTCTGACTTACAGTATTTGTCGATGGATTACGGCTATCTGTTACGGCTCGTACAGCGTTCGGTATGGCCCCTATCTTGCCAATACACTTATAATAATATGGGACTAAATTAATATAATACAAAATGCGATGGATATAACGAAATGAATAAAGGTCAGCGCTCGCTACGACTTTCCGATAACAAAGTTTGGAACAGTGTTCGATTCGGGATCCCGAAACAGAGTGCTAGGAACCGAACGCGATCGCACGTGCTCGACGCCGGTTCTCCTTGCGGATATTTTGGCAATTACCATGCCTACCGCAGCGATTTTGTCGATAGTTGAGTGACCGCGCTTTTCGAATGTTAAGGAGTTTTACTTTCCTGTCACACGTGGAAAGATCTCCTACGAAAGAGTCATAACATTCTGCAGATTTTTGCTGATACATCGGGAACCTCGAGCGAGCCGATAAGCATGAATGATGTAACAGTTAAATTCCGACAACTAAACGACGTAAAACGCGCAAAACTCTCAAATTCTACCGTCTCTATGTTTATGAGTGAAAAAACCGTACAAAAATTGTTCGCCCTCGAATATTGTATCGATCACATGAACAGTTGGCTGTCTGAAAACTTGTACCTGGTAAAATCTAAGTACAACAAGTTTATAGAAATAATACAAAATGCTGAAATTAAGGATTATGCAAAGGCAATTGTTGAACATGAAAATTTTGAGCGTCATTCATTGATTGATTCTGAATTGTTAGCATTAGGTTTAGATGTAATGTTGGAATACAGTTATCAATAAAAAAAAAAAAATAGCTTGGATATATGTGTCTTTCTGTTTAGCGCATTTCCCCCCATATCATATTCTCATCCGGTGTAATGTCTACCTCCCTTATCTCCAGTATTCTCATCGCCAGCGAATGATGTCACCTCTACCGTTTTATTTGATATTTAGTTCTCGAGCAATTGTATCGCGCAAGTAAAAGATTTGCTACCGAATTGTAATTTGCAAACTTTGCGTTTTTGGATCTTCTACTCGAGGCCATCATCGCGAGACGTTCCTAGCGATGGCTGCGTCAAAGATTGTAATGTAATATTATATGTTGCATGGGGAATGAGTGCGAGGAAGAAAATACTCGGGCTCAAGAGAGAGGGAACCCGCGAGGCCCGCAACAACGCCCCCACTCCTGCGCGCGAGGAGGATGGTTCCCCTCCCTTACGGCGTGCGCGCTTACCTCCCGCGAAGACGACGAGCATGGTTTCCTCCTCCCTTACAGCGTGCGCGCTTATTTCGTTACATGTACCATTTGCGTTTTTCTTTCTTACCGATCTCTGATAACGATAATAATACTTACCAAACGTCGAACAATTGATGTATTTCTTCTTCTTTTTTACCGATCTCTGATAATTACCTATGATAATTACCTCATCTTTTCTAATCTTACATGTTGCACGGGTAAAAGGGCATGAGTGCGAGAAAGAAAATACTTGGGCACGAGAGAGAGAGAGGGAACCCGCGGGGCCCGAAAATACATCCCCACTTCTGCGCGCTTATTTCGTTATATGTAAAATTTACGTTTTTTCTTTGTTACGTCCCAGCTTATCTGTGACTTTTTCTTGGGATCTTCGTCT